ATTAGATTTCTGGGATCCAAATACATGCATATAATTTTTCATTACCTAAGAATGGTAAAGTAAGTTATCCTATTATATTATGAAGATAGAAACTAAGCACCTTGAAATGATATCAGCAATGTAATTATTCTCAGTAATAAAGCTATTGGACAAAGCTATTTAGGTCACACCTGAAGCAAATTATTTCTGAGAAACTTTTCCGAAAGATTCCAGCTTCCTCTATAAAGAAAAAAAAATTTAAAGATTAAAAATACTCTGAACCAACCCAACTGCCTGAAATGAACTTTTCTTAGGTCCATATTTTCCCAAAGAAATTTGTAATTTCATCATTCCTGAGTGGGAGATGAGGGACAAAGCATACCACATGAGAACCAGACATGTATCTCTGATCTTAGAGGGTTTGTTGCAGGAGTTCATACTTTCAAATAGATTTGGAAGACGCGCTTTGGAACATATAAGCCTAAAAAAGTCAGCCTGCTTTCACAGACATAGTTCAGGAGAAAGATACTGTGCTTGTACCTGTAGGAAGTCTGAAGTACTGGTTTTGAATCATTTAAAGAAGGCTAATACTTCTTCTTGAATGAGAAAGAAATATATTAGCTGGGTCGCACCTCATTCTAAACTATAATGAATGAGTTTTCATATGCTAGGTCCTAAGCAAAGTACTTTTACTTTTTTTTTTTTAGTACAAAGTACTAAACAAAGTAGGGACGTGGTGGCTCAGTGACTAAGATGCTGAGCTTGTCGATCAAAAGGTCGGCAGTTCAGTGGTTCGAATCGCTAGTGCCGCATAATGGGGTGAGCTCCCGTTACTTGTCCCAGCTTCTGCCAACCTAGCAGTTTGAAAGCATGTAAAAAATGCAAGTAGAAAAATAGGGACCACCTTTGGTGGGAAGGTAATAGCGTTCCGTGTGCCTTTGACATTTAGTCATGCTGGACACATGACCATGGAGACATCTTTGGACAGTGCTGGCTCTTTGGCTTTGAAACGAAGATGAGCACCACCCCTAGATTAGGGAATGACTAGCACATATGTGTGAGGGGAATCTTTACCTTTACCTTAAGCACAGTACATTACAGCTTTACATTACAGTAATAAGGGCATTCTGAATATTTCTACTTATTATTGCAAAAGCAGACACTTTATTTTGTATTCAGTACTGATCTGCTTCTTCTCTACTTCAATTTACCAGGAATTTTGGACCACAAAAACTTCCTTGGAAAATCCAACTACTATTATCTTCTCCTGTTTGTGGTTCCCAGAATGCTTGCAATGCATTCTTTCATGTTCCACCAGTAGGCACTTTTTATTTTATTTATTCATCAAGGACCAGGGTGTGATTAGGGTGCTGGGCTGGAGGTTAGCATTCAGGACCATAGTGCTGCCCTTGGGCAGGGTAAGCTCCCATCCTTCGCTCCGGAGACATGAAAGGAACCTGCAACTGGGTATCCCCCAGGCAATAGTGATGTCACCAGCTAATCCTTTCAACCCTGAAGTGAGTGTTCCAAAATAAGTGTGATGTGATTTATTCATCATATTTATATAGCTGTCCATCTCATAAAATGTGAGTCTTGGTGGTGCACAATAAAGAAATTAAAAAAACAATAATATAGAAAACAATCAACAATTAAGAAATGTCAATATAATTTTTAAAAGGCAAGGAGAGAGCTGTAGATTTTAACAATAATAGAGTTTCTTCCACAATTCTTCACTCCCTTGGAACCCAAACTGATGACACAGCTAGGTCTTAAAGGACTTGTAAAATGCTAACAGAGATGGTGCATGATGTTCCATAAGGCAGATGGTACGCAGAAAAGAGGTGCTACCTCTTCTGCTAGATCTGATGGGACAGGCAGACATTGTGTGTGTGTGTGATGTATATGTGTGTGTTATCTATGTGTATGGGTAGATATATACCTTCTTTTGAGAGTAGGCAATAGAATTTCATTTTTAATGTGGGCCAGTATTCTCACAGTAAAAAAAAAATGACAATAAAGGTTATCTCCTCTCCTCTCCCCTCCCCTCCCCTCCCCTCCTCCCCTCATCTCATCTCGTCTCATCTCATCTCTGTAGTTTGCACCAGCTGAAGTTTCTAGATGCTCTTCAAGGACAGCCCCATGTAGAGCACATTACAATAGTCCATCTTGGAGGTGACCAGGGCATGAGTGACCATGAGCAGAGCTTCCCAATCTAGGAACCGGCACTATTGGAGCACAACACAAAACTGTACAAAGGTGCTGCCAGCCACAACTGCCACCTGCTCTTCAAGCAGGAGTTACAAGTCTAGAAGAACCTCCAAGTTGCACACTGGATCTGTTTGAGGCAGTGTATCCCAATTGACAATCATAGCAGGCAATATCAACAGCTGCAATTAATAGGTTATGGAATCAGGGCTTCGTTCGTGAAAGGGGATTTCCAGTCTTGCTTATTGGAATTACCATACAGCAGACAGAAAATATAAAACCATCTCTACTGTACCATATAAAGATGTGTGAGAAAAGGAAGTCAACAACTTCACTGTACAGGGGGTGACACCATTAAAAGAATATTTGAAGACTGATTGGATAGCCTTTCCTGCCCGCTCAGAGGCTGACAACTGTTATGTCTGTTGTCATAAAACAGGGGTGTCAAACTGGCGGCCTGCAGGCCGGATGCGTCACGTGCAGGCCACGCCCACCCCAGCTCCAGGAATGGGAAAAACATTGCAAAATGTCATGTGACAGCAATGTGATATGGCGAGTTTGACACCCGTGCCATAAAAGAACAAAGATATAGTTCTTAGCCCTGTTTATCTAAGTGTTTGGGGACTTTTTTCTTCCCGAGGGAAGTCCAGTAAAGTTGCCAAACTCTGTTTTGCTGAAAGGCTGAAATTTGGCTACTACTTGTAATTTGATTCAGAACTAAATTTATTGGACCAATGAGAAATTCTTAATGTATTTGTGGCTTGCCTCCTTATAAATTTCAAGTAATCTCTAATATGTAATGAGACACCATTATATAATTCAGAGTTGATTTGCTTTATCTATATGCATAGTTGATTAAGTATTCATTTAATTTTGGGAAAGACAGTAGCTTTGAAGACGAGCTTTGGTAAAATAAATTAGCTCCCAAAATAATTCAGAACTTTTCACCCATATTATTGAGTAAAATAATTATAGCTGAAGGAAGACTTTAAAAAAAGAAAAATCTTTTGGTGCACTGAAAATATTGAGTACATTTTTCTGACCTTAACATCCTTGACTTCTGGTTCTCTCTATTCTCCTCAGTCTGAGGCAGCTAAGAGCTAACACTTTTTCATCCTTTTAAATAAATGATAAATGCACAACAAATGTCAGATCCATCCAAAGACTCACTTTCTCAAACTTAGAGTTTTCATTTTACAAGGCACTGCCTGGAGCTACCAGCAGCACTTTCAAAACACTTTTCACCCAAAGGACTGTCCTGCACCAGATAGTCTCTCCCCAATAAGATCTTCTTTGAAAGACCAGATTATATCTACCATTAGACATCTCAATCTGTACCTTTGAGCCAACCCTGATGCCTGAATTAAGCAAACCCATCCTAATCTGTTCCATTTTAGCTCACCTCAGATGGAAGATTCCTCAGATGGACTATGGCATTAATAAATAAATTAACAACTGATTTGAAAAGTATTAAAATGACTGAGTAATGTGGACTTTTTTCTGAAGAGATTTTTTTTTCTAATATAGTATTTCAATAGGCACGTTTCTTCTTTGGCTCTTTCCATTGCTCAGGAAACATTTTGGAAAAATTGTGGCTGGCGAGAGTGGTTACTTTTTTGTCTGAATCAGTAATATATAAAGAACATTGATATACGGAGGTTTCTATCTTAACCACTGTAAAATAAATCCCTGTGATTGAATTTAAATGGATACTGAGTGGCTGTACAATTCCTTTCCTTTTCTCCCTTGTTATATTCTAGCTTTGATATATACCCTGGATATTTGTGTGGAAAAGGTTTCTAGCTTTTTTTTTATAAAAAAAAAAAAAACCTAGACATTGTCCTTCTGAAGTAGAAAGACCTTGAAAGAATAAAACAGAACTGGCACTTTCACTATTAAAGGCGCAGATGCAGCCCTCTGATTTTGCTTATGTTAGATGTACGCTTTTATTCCAATGCAAGTTCAAGATTCAGAAAATAATGATGTAGTTTAGCCAGGAGTCAAAATGCAGAGAAGAAACAGGGTATTTTGCAGAAGAATGCATACTTTCATTTTAGAAATAAACAGTCCTTTTGTGATACAAGCCAAAATACTTGCAAATTTTTAATTGGCTCATCAATAAGCTTGGGCTACTTCAAGCCAGCCTTGCTTGCTTCTTCTCTTCTCCGCCTCTGCCCCCCCCCCCAAATTTATCAGTATGGCATGAAGGGGTGGTTCATGTCTTGGCCAAATTAGAGCTTGAGGCTTGCCAATAAGTAACTTCAGAGCACAAAGATTAATTATAGATTAAATTTGCCAGGAATTTGGGGTGGAGGGAGCAACTGGGAAACTCTTCAGTGGAAGAAAGGGGAAGACTGCAGGAGAGCTGACTACAGGGAAGGCTGAACATAATGGCTGGTAGGGAAACATCCGGAATGGCCCTCAAGTATCTCATACTGTTTCTGAACTGAGAGTTGTTTGGTTATCTTGCTGCTGTCAACTGAAAGGATAACATGAATTACAAAGCAAGAGAGAGAGAGAAAATCACACAAAGAAACAACCCCCTACTTGAGATAACACACTACATGTACAGTGGGTGCATGCCAGTAGGATGTTATTACGGGGATTATGATAATCAATGAAAGTCAACATACTGCAATGCATCAAGCATCCCTTTCTCATTTCATCATCTGACTCCAATAAATAATGCATTTCACTTTTTTTTTTACTAGGCTGGCTTGCTTGCAGGCCAAAATGGAACAAGCTTCATCAAAACTGAAAAGAATGACTGCTGGAAACTAACTGGAAAACAAAACAAATACATAAAAAATCGATACCTCTTTCACTTCACAGGGCGTACTTTGGTGTTTCTTCCCAATAAGGGGGTGTCGAAAAGATTTTTGCTTGGAACTATTAACTGAAAAGCAATTTGACTGTTCCCACTTTGAGGTTAAAAAGGCAAATTCCATATCCTCTATTTCCTCAGTCTGTCTCTCTTCTCCCTCCGAAACATAAGAGCCATTTTTGTGGAGCAGAAACTCATGGATCAACAGCTGGCAGGCCTCTAAGTCAACTTCACATACTCTTCCTAAAAGATGGCTTCTTCCACAGCTGAAAGAAAAGGCAACATAAAAATCAATAATTTGCTTAGATAAAAAAGCTCATGTCTCATATAAAATGTCAGGATTCTCTTGGTTTCTTTTAGGGCATTTTGTTTTTACCATTATAAAAACAGTTCTAATAAAAGACTCAGTAGATGTGTTCCCTTGTCAGTTTATTATATTCTTACCCCATCTTTATTACTTTATAAGTAACTCAAGGTGGCAAATATACCAGTGGTGGGTTTCAAAAATTATTACTACTGGTTCTGTGGGCATGGCTTCGTGGGCGTGGTGTGGCTTGGCTTCATGGGCGTGGCTTCATGGGCATGGCAGGGGAAGGATACTGTAAAATCTCCATTCCCTCCCCACTCCAGGGGAAGGTTACTGCAAAATCCCCATTTCCTCCCAATCAGCTGGGACTCGGGAAGCAGAGAATAGATGGGGGCGGGGCCAGTCAGAGGTGGTATTTGTCGGTTCTCCGAACTACTCAAAATTTCCACTACTGGTTCTCCAGAACTGGTCAGAACCTGCTGAAACCCACCTCTGAAATATACCTAACACTCTTACTCTTCCTGTGTTCCCCACAACTACAACCTTGTGAGGTGAGTTGAGTGGCCCTATGACAATTCACAGTGGCCAACTTGCCACAGCAAACTCACCACAGCTACCTTGCCATGGGACAACTTATTGCAGGGCAAGAGTTACACTAATATCAAAGAAATGGAACAGAATAATTAAAGAAAGAATGCAAAAGGAGAGACAAAATGAAACGTGAATGACAAAACTTAAAATATTTATTTATTTATTTTAAATAATTAAATTGAATGGGTAAATTGTCCTACAGCGAGTTGGCCATGGTGCATTGTCCCGCGGTGAGTTGGCGGAGGCAAGTTGGCCAGAGCGAATTGGCCCATTCTAGATTTGGGCTGAGAGTGAGTGACTGGCCCAAAGTCATCCAGTCTAAACAAAATTGTTTGATTAGAATAATAGCTACTTATTTCAGTATGAATTTTGGTGAATGTGGTTACTATCAAGGAACTTGCTTAACATCAAGGGAAACCTGCAGTGACATGCACATTCATTTAAGAAGGGATGGTTTAGTTTGTACTTCATCCTATTCTGCAGCTCTTTCAAGAAATCACAACATTCAGTTTGGCCTCATTCAAATATATGCTATCTATACAATGACCAGGATCCAATGCTCAAGGCTACCATGGGAGCTTCAGAAAAGCATGAAAGCATCCATTTTCAAGAGTAAAAATACTACAAAGCATGAGTCAAATCTTTTTGATAGGAAGAAATAAGTAAACACTGGAGTCCATTTTAGGTATGCAGGATTTAATATAAAGCCACAGTCCTCTAAAGAAGCCAGTGAGAAGAATGACCCAGTTATTTTGATTGCAAAAGAATTAGGGACACATAAGAGTACATAGCAATTCCAGCTAAATCTTGTTAAAATGACATAACCTAGTTTCTCTAATGAGCAAATGACAAATAGAAATAATTTTGAAGCTAAGGAAGAATGTAATTATATGGAAGAATCAACTTCAATTTGTTTAAAATTTGTACACAGTAAAGCTAAATTCTTTATTACATTTGGTATCTTTTCTGCAGAGTATATATAAATGAAATTTCCTCATTAAGAAAACATGCAACTGAACCAGTGGTGGGATTCAAATATTTAACAACCAGTTCTGTGCCCTAATGATTTCTTCCAAAACCAGTTCACCAAACTGCTCAGAAAGTTAACAACCGGTTTTCCCGAAGTGGTGCGAATTGGCTGAATCCCACCACTGAACTAAACTATTTAGAGTATGACTATCTACGCGTAAGAGTATCTGTAATTCAGACAGGTTCAAATGTAAATAAGAGTTGGATTTAACAGTTTCAGACACAAGAAATAAACTTTTTTACTTGTTTAATTTTCCCAGCAATCAATGCTACAACCCTCATGCAGCCTGCTGCTATACATAGTCCTCAACTTATGATGGGATTCCTTCTCTTTCAAACCAGTGGTCCTCTCTGTCCAGAATATGAGTTTGCTCTCCTCAAAAGAGTGAGCCTTGTCTTTCAGATGCAGATGGACTGCTGAATCTGGTCCTGATGAGTTGTGAAGTTGTTGTTTTGTTTCCCTAATGTTTTCAAAAGAAAAAAACCAAGAAAGTCCAATTGCCTTTGGAAAAAGCATGGGACAACCATAACCTGGATGATTGAAAATTTCCATAGATAGTGAGGTTGATGGTACTGAAGCTTGCTTGCCCTAGGAATCTATTGCTGTGTTCAGCAAGACTGGAAGCACCCAATGAGGATTGGTGAAATGATGTCATGAACTAATTAATAGGCTGACTAAAAAAAACCTGTTAAACCTCAAGGCAAAGGGATTTTGCCACCCTAGCAATTGGCTTGCTCCTGGAATAGAGGACTTCTGAGGGAAGCTGAGTGGCTGATCCTCAACATGATCATTGGATAACAATACTGAAGGAGATTTCAAACACAGGCATAGATGCAGAATTATCAAATTCAGAAAGATTAGCAAGGGTTCTGCTAGATGATGAATAGGGTGGATCTTATGGGTCCATGTCAATGGACAAAATCGACCTCAAAGAAATGTCCTGGAGCAGACAACTTCCTAAGGATATGACAATGACACCTGCAAAAGCTGCCTTTGATGTAGTCAGCCCAAGACAGCATTAGATGGCAGAATTTGAGCTCACATACTGTAAATGTGGGAACTAGACCCTGCAACAAACCCAGATATCTCCCAGCAGCAGCAGCATCACAGCCCCAACAAGTATACACACAAGATTAGAGGCATCTTCATATGTTCTCACTGTAATGTGATATATGGCATCATCTGTCAGTGATGCTCCTCTGGATTCTAGGTAGGACAAATAGAACAAACTTTATACAAAACTATTAATGGGCATAAAGTTTGACATCAACATTCAAAAAACACCCAAAGTAATATCAAAACATTTTAACGTCCCAGAACAATCTATGACAGACCTTGAGGTGGCTGTTTTGGGGAAATGGAACTTTAAACACACCACTGAGCAAAAATTACTAAAAGTTTTAGTGCAGAAAAGAGCAAAACTAATTAGGAGACTGGAGATTAAAACATGTAAAGGAGGGTTGCTGGAATTGGGTATTTCTAATTTAATGAAAAGAAGGACTAGGGATGACATGATAGCAGTGTTCCAATATTTAAGGGGCTGCCACAAAGAAGAAGGAGTCAAGCTATTCTCCAAAGACACCTGAGGGCATGAGAAGAAGCAATGGGTGAAAACTAATCAAGGACAGAAGCAATCTAGAACTAAGGAAAAATTTCCTGACAGTTAAAACAATTAAGCAGTGGAACAACTTGCCTCCAGAAGTAGTGAATGCTCCAACACTGGAAGTTTTTAAGAAGAGATTGGATAACCATTTGTCTGAAGTGGGGTAGGGCTTCCTGCCTGAGCAGGGGGCTGGACTAGAAGACCTCCAAAGTCCTTTCCAACTCTGTTATTCTGCTTTCAGACAATCTCAGAAGATCTCAACAAACACAAAAGGTTTTTAAGATATTATAATTGTTAGTTGATAAAATACTGACAATCTCTCTCAAATGTAATCTGCATCTGCGTAATCAGTCTGCTTTCCCTTCTCTCCCCACCCCAGTTTAAATCCTATATAAATTTAGTCTCATGAAATGAGCCACAACTCAACCATGTGCCATTGAAGAATATTTGTTAATTTAAAAGGGTGCTACCTGACTCCTGATTTTTACCACTCTATAGACTAACACCACTCTCTTCCTACAAATGTCACAAATGAAAAAAAAAAAAAAAGATTGCAACCAGCCTGTTCAGTAAATGCCTGGACGTTTTCAAAAGAGTTCACTGGGTGACCTTCACCAAGGCAAAGAAAGGCACAGTTTATGCCCATACAAGGGAGGAAGTTTACTTCTACTTCACTAGCACTTGTAAAATGTCATGAAGCCAAAAGCTAGAGGCTTGCAGAGGGAGAACAAGTTATCTTGATGAACAGCTCTAAGGAGATTTCAAGAAGAGTCAAAATAAAACTGAGAAATCAAAGAGAAAAAGCAAAAATGTTTACGAAGGAGAATCGGTTCAAAGATGAATGTGTTGCATGCTGTGACTGCTAAAAACAGAAAAAAAGGTTTTAGTGGGAAACACCCCCCCCCCAGCTGTATGGTGTATGTGAGGATGGGGCTCCCTCCAAGCAATTTTGTAACTTGAGGGTTTCGACTGGAACTCTGAACAGTGTCTCAGTGATGTCTATAAATCACAGAAACCAAAATTAAGTTTTAGTTCCTGAATTAATTCAAGATTCAACCATGTGAAATTAGTTATGTTTGCATGGATTAAACATGGAGGGGGGCAGATATGTTTGGATTTTAATATTTAAAAAAATAGATTTTTTTCCTTCAAGGCTGCCTTAATAGAAAGGCAGTCTTATTTCTGAGTTGATCAAATTCGATTTAGGTTCTGCAAGTTTTTTTATTTAAATTTGGAAAGTTGTAGAACTTATAGGACTGGAATTTCTTAATGCTAGATAAAATAAATGGATACTTGGTTAGTCTGTGCAGGCACCAAACTGTAGGACTTTATGTTCTATGTATATATGCATTCATTTGATTTAAAATGAATATACTACTTATGCTGAAATATACTACCTGTGCTGTAACTCAGTTCACAATTAAACTTATTAATGAAAAACAGCAAAATAATATGGAAGCTGTTCAAGGTTGATCCAGATACTTAAAATATGAAAGCAGCAATGAAATGAAACAGAACTGGACAGTTTCTAAAAGAGAAGGTTTTCACCAACTTCCTGAAAGCTATGCATGAGGAAATACTTGGGAAGTATAGCTACAAGTACTTTTCTAAGGAAGTAGAATAATTGGTTCACCTCTTATTAACCTACTACTGCTTCTTCCAACAAAAGACAATTACAGGCATTATACTCTTACTCTTTGCAGCCTTATTCTTACTACGCTCTTATTTTCTACAA